CTTCAAGACTTACATAATTGTTGCATTAGAATTTTCATTCTTAGAATAAACTTTTCCTGCTTGTAAAACATTTGTTAAATGTCAAGGAAGCTTACATATAAGCACCAGTTAAGATTTTTATTTTTTGAGGTCTAAAACTCTGTTAAGTAATTGGCGAATCATTTCTAAAAATGATCATAGCCAGGGGCATGTTGCCTGAAGACCTTCAACATGAATAGTTTGTTGCCTTCATAGTTCGTTTACCCTCATAGGGAAAATTTGAAAACTTTGTTGTGCCAAATACAGTCAATTTAGGGCAGTCACGTCGAGATTCAACGAATCTCTCCAAGAGTTTAAAGACATTGGGGAATTTTGGGTGTCAAGTCTTTTGTAAAATCCCCTTGAGACGATTTATTCTCGTAAACCATGTAACTTGGGGCATTTAAGAAGTGAAGTTATTCATCGAAATTATCGTGCATCATGCAGTTTATCAGTAGTAAACTTGAGGCATACAAAGTTAGTTCCAGGGGCAATCCAGATTTGTCAAGATATGAGATATATTTTACACACATTGTCAGAAGATGGTGTTCCCCAATAGTTCTAGCTGAGCAATATTTTTCTCCAGCTGCAACAGAGTTCATGTTGTTATCCTTTCAATGGGTTATTAATGTTAGAAGATTGGACTTTGGGTTTTCTCCCGAAAAGTATCTTCATCTCCGGAGAGATTATACCCTTATATAAGAAATATGCTTCGTCGATGGCTTTTGTTCTATCTCCAGTAATGTTCCCATCACGCCGAGATTAGCCGAGTATTTGTTTATACTGTGATGTCTTTTCATCTCTAGTTTATCTATTTTGTCTATTTTGTCATCATATACATGACACTTCATTTATTCATTCACAATTACATCATTCATGCAAATTCGCATTTCTCTAGGTTTTTGGGTCCATCTCCATTGGTTGTGTTTATCCCCAAGTAACTTATTTCCTCTTTCCAAATAATGTGACAACTTAAGCAGAAAGTGTACATCCTTATTAATTCCCCACTGAGTTCATTCCTCGTGGAAGGGTTTTTGTTTTAGCCTTCCTTTCATCTCAGGATAGGATAGGTCCCATTTGAGTTTATCCCTCATCTGGTAGTGTCTTGTTTGACTTTTTCTCTCCATTTTTGTTCTTGGATTGAGCTTCGTCTCCTGCAGACGCTACCCCATGGATCTCTCTAGTATGTGAAACCTAGATGGAGAGTGCATTTATTTTGCACATTTAAATACTTGGTCTCCTCAGGAAGAATCTATTCATGGTTTCCCATTGAAGATGAACTTTGTTTCCCAGTAGTGTTCTTGCAACACTCTTTTGGAATATCAACATAGCAGCAAGTGGCGGTCTCTTCATAAGTAGCTTGTGTGTTATAGATATCTTTGGAAGATAGTAAGTGAAGGACTCTTCATGAGCATCTTGTGTTATAAATATCCTTTGAAGACAGCAAGTGGCAATCTCTTCATGAACAACTTGTGTGTTATAGATATCTTTGGAAGACAGCAAGCGACAGACTCTTCATGAGAAGCTTGTGTTATAAATATCCTTTGAAGACAGCAAGTGGTGGTCTCTTCATGAGCAGCTTGTGTGTTATAGATATCTTTGGAAGACAACAAGCAACTGACTCTTCATGAGCAACTTGTGTTATAAATCTCCTTTGAAGACAACAAGTGGCGGTCTCTTCATGAGCAGCTTATGTGTTATAAATATCTTTTTAAGATAACAAGTGGCGGACTCTTCATGAGTATCTTGTGTATTATTGGTATCTTTGGAATACAGCAAGTGGAGGTCTCTTCATGGGAAACTTGTGTGTTATAGATATCTTTGGAAGACATCATGCGGAAGACTCTTCATGAGCATCTTGTGTTATAAATATCCTTTGAAGACAACAAGTGACAGTCTCTTCATGAGTAGCTTGTATGTTATAGATATCTTTGGAATATAGCAAGTGGTGGACTCTTCATGAGAAGCTTGTGTGTTATTGTTATCTTTGGAAATTAGCAAGCGGTGGTCTCTTCATGAGCAGCTTGTGTTATAAATATCCTTTGAAGACAGCAAGTGACAGACTCTTCATGAGAAACTTGTGTATTATTGATATCTTTGGAAGACAACAAGTGGCGGTCTCTTGATGAGCAGCTTGTGTGTTATAGATATCTTTGGAATACAGCAAGCGGCAGACTCTGCATGAGAAGCCTATGTTATAAATATCCTTCAAAGACAGCAAGTGGCAGTCTCTTCATGAGCAGCTTGTGTGTTATAGATATCTTTGGAATATAGCAAATGGGGGACTCTTCATGAGCAACTTGTGTGTTATTGATATCTTTGGAAAGTAGCTAGCGGTAGTCTCTTCATGAGCAGCTTGTGTTATAAATATCCTTTGAAGAAAAAAAGTGGCGGTCTCTTCATGAGCAGATTGTGTGTTATAGATATCTTTGGAAGATAGCAAGTGGTGGACTCTTCATGAGCAGCTTGTGTGTTATTGTATTATTGAAAGTAGCAAGTGGCTGACTCTTCATAAGCAGCTTGTGTGTTTACTAATATCCTTTGAAGATAGCAAGTGGCGGTCTCTTCATGAGCAACTTGTGTGTTTGTTAATATCTTTTGAAGACAGCAAGTGGCGGTCTCTTCATGAGCAGCTTGTGTGTTTGTTAATATCTTTTAAAGACAGCAAGTGTCGTCCTCCTTATTTGTGCAACTTGTGTATCCATAACCATATGTTATTTCAGCAGCAAATGGTATCTCTCTGGAAAAGTCCCGTAGACAAATTTGTTATGAAATCTCCACCCTCAGTAAAAATCGGTAGTTCCCTATCAGTAAAAGTTGGTGTATCCTCTTGTCTACCTTTGACCCCAAGTTGTAAACTCATTATCATCTTGAGTCAGTATCCATCTATTTTTTCGTAGCATATGCAAGGCATTTTCTTTGTTAGAGTCAGAAAATTTCTTTCTCTCGAAGTTATTCCCCAATAAGAGTCTCTCATTCGAAGTTTGTGGCTCTGTTTCTCCAGTAGAGTTATAACCTCTTGCCCTGTGGATTATTTTATCATGCACTTGATTTCTCCAGCATTAGTTTGTCTCATGCGGCATCATTCCTCAAAAAATTCAAAATATTACATTCATATCATATCATAAACATAATTTTAGTATCTTAAGGCCAAAAATTGTGTATTGTATATTTAAGTATCTCCTAATAGAAGAAACTTAAATAGGGGAAGCTGTCATACCCCAATTTTTGACCTAAGATCCCACACTCTGATTGCATCATTGCATAACAAGTGTTCACGAGTGGTTCGACATATTTTCGCCAACTCTCAAATCAGATCTCAAAAATTCATAACTTTTTCAAGTTTCAACCTTTTTGAGCGGTTGTTTTTCGCATATGATTTTCCTTGACATCATCTACAATTTTTTTACAAGTCAAGAGATGATTATGCTTTGAAAAAGCCATAAAAAAATAGAAACGATAGAAATCATTGTGACTTTAGCGAATTTAACTGTTTTTGCCTTACTTTACTAAATCATGTATTTTTTTGCACTTTTAGTCATTTTTATTTTATTCTTATTTTCATAAAAAAAAGAAAATCCAAAAGAATATATTTAGCATCATTTTACTTGCAAATTTATTTTCTTTTAATAAAAAAAACAATTTTCTTTTAGTTACTATTATTATTATTAGTATTATTATTATATTTTTGTCTCATGTTGAAAAAGAAAGAAAAGGAAATTCAAAACCAAATTTCACCAAAATAACAAACTCTTTTATTTTCACTTTTTACTGTTACATTGACTAAGAAACAACATCAAAACAGACTGCTATACTAGTCCATATGCTGCTCTAAAACCAGTCTGTAAAATCAGTCCATTACAATGCTATACTGCTGCCCAATTTCCAGCCCCGTTGTACCCTGTTCACACCAGTCCAAAACCTGTTGTTGATCTACTCTTGTTGTCCAAAGACTTGCACAAAAACAACAAAAAACAAAGCTGCATAAAACAGCATCAGACCAGCATACCAAATATGTTCAAACTCATCAGATTTTCTCCTCTAAAACCTCATCTGCTTCACTATAATCAGGGACCTGGATCTCAATAGTAAAGGGGGAGAAAAAAGTTTGTTCAACACAAAACTAGGAGGGATCACAACAAAAATATTCAGAATAGAGAGAAAGTGGAGCAGAAGCAACAATAGAAGAGTGTGAATTTACTGTCTTTTGAAGCTCCATCAGAGAGACTCCGATAGATATCGTCTTCTTCCCATCATCTCTGAACAATCTTTTTTTTCATACATCAGTATCTCGTTTTGATTCGCTTACACTATATTTCCAGTTACATAGTTAAGTTGTATCACTTGATTTCTGACACATGACTGTATGATTTGTCGAAATCTTTGTTGTGTTCCAAATTTGTTGTAATAAAAACACAAGAAAAAAATAGTACACAGTTTGGGTACACAAAGAGAAGTATCCCATAAAATTAACGTCTTTTAATACCTTTTTCCGCATGTCTTACTCACCATCACTTTGTGTACATCATCCATCCAAAACCTGTAAAAATGTACCCAAAAAAATCAGTACAAGTTTCACTCAGAACTTCACACAGTACCAAAAAACCTTATACGAATCTTAACCATTCACCATTGTCCTCTTCAACTTTCATACAACCTTCAAAGAATATTTAAACCTTGCCCTGCATATTCATTAATAACACGGGAAAACAGTAAAGATACTACTATAAAACAAGAGAAATCAGTAATTCTGCAGGTCACTCACACCCAAACGAATAAACAGAAGAACCTCTTAACAAAGCAGTAGCACTATTAGCCACTTCATCCCATGTCATCAGCCCGATCCAGATCCAATCCCAAACCACAAACAATGGAAGAATACCCCGAAGAATTATGATCTCCACCCTCTAACCTCGACCTCCCTCTTATCATAACAACCTCTAATCAACACCTTAGCACTTCCCAATTTATCAAAAAAATTGATGTCTTCAAACCAGCAGAAAACCGATGTCAATGTCGTTATCACCGCATCGCCTCCTTCGTTCATCGTTAACGGTGCCCTGAAACGCGTTTGGATTCTCAAAACACCGTACCAAAATCCCTTCCGTTGTTGTTTACATAGATCACACCAGGTTGAGAGAACTGTGAAGTTCGATCGCAATCCGCTAGCATTGTTCTTTTTTTTTTCTGTTTCCGTAGAGTTTTTGAGTTTGAGAGCAGAGTCGAAATTGGAAGGTTATGTTGTTGTTAATCGAAATTGAAGGAGGAATTAGAAAGGAAGGTGGAAAAGATGAAGAAAGCCGTGGAAATAACAGAGGAAGTAGAAACCAGAGCGTGAAAATACAGATGAAGAATGAAAGTGAACGACTGGCTTGTTTAGAGAGCTAGGGTATTTTGCTGTTGTTTTAAATTTGTTTTGGGTCAAAGCCACTCAACCAGTTCGGCCCAACTCAGATTGCTTCTATACCACCCTTTTGTTTGTTTATATTGCTAACAATGGTGTTGTATTGGGGTATAATACCCTAGACCCAGTCCGAATTTCCTTCTCCCTTAAGTCCAATTTGGTTCCCTTCTTAACTTTTAAGCCCATTCGAAATTCAACATATCCACCTCTAATTTTCTATTTCCACACCCTTTTTTCATTAAATATCTTAATTTAATTTTAGATTATTAATCTTAGAATAAATTAGTTTAGATATAAAATTTAGCCTTTTTTAGGATTAATTTAATTTAGATTAATATTTTTATAATAGTTTAGATTTAAATTAGAATTTTATAATTAACTTAATTTACATTTAAATTGGTTTAGATATGATTTAGTCATTTTAGAACTTTAATAACTTTAGAATTTTTATTTGATTTAGATTTAATTTAACAATTTTAGAATTTTCATTTGATTTAGATTTAATTTAATAACTTTAAAATTTTAATTTAATTTAGATCTAATTTAGTAATTTTAGAATTATTTTTATAACCTTAGAATTTGTAATTACTTTAGAATTATTTTAGTAAGTAATCTTAAATTTTTTTATTTAGTTCAAATAACTTTTTTAGATAATTAGTTACATTCTCCTTTATTTGTATATCCTTGTCATTTTAATTTCTCGGTGTCTTTTGGTCGTTAATCTGTTTCGTTAGATTTATTTTCTTGTGAATTTTTGAATGCTTATATTTTGATGTCCATTTTATTTTGCTCGCTCGATTTTTTCCAAGGGAAAGAATTAAATTTGTTGATTTCATGTCATTGAACATATCTTATACGATTGCATGGACCCCTTCATTCATTTTTTTTGTTTTACTATTTTTCTAAACTTAAGTTAATTTTCCTAAAAAGTCAATTTTAAAAACTCACACCCCTTTAAGTCAAAACTTCGACACTAGGTTGTCATATCTTCAAAATCTAGTCCGCACCCATTTTAACCAAACAAACCATTTTTAATCAAACAAACCATTTTAAAAATAAATATTTCAAAAGGTTCCCGCGGAGTACCCTAGATGCATTAGGTGTTAATACCTTTCATTGCATAACCAACCCCCGAACTCTCGATCTCTTTCAAAAACGCATTGTATTTTCATTACTTTTAAGTATTATTTTACATTGCATATTTAAGGGTTTTATTTCTCTCTTTTTCCTTTTCCCTTGGAAATAATAAAGCGCGGTGGCGACTCTTGCTTTTGCGAGTCAAGTAATAGCCCGATCTCCGATTTTCACCGTTACATGAGTGCAATAAACAGTCTTGCAATCTTTCTTCTTGACTTTGTTGTGGGTTTTTTTCTATTCGTCGGTTGCATTTGCAGCTAACGCAGGAACGTCGTCGATAACCATTTCTAGGGTTTCATGGAATCCAAACAAGGATTGTATCTGTTTTTTTCATCGGATCCAATTTTTGCCGTCAAACATTGGAAGAGAATTCAGAATGCCCTTATCACTAGTCATCTTTACAGTGGTTGATTCATTTGTCCTAGAAACACGATCTCTGATGTGGAATTCTTGAAAACTCGATAAAAAACAATAATCATGCTCTGATACCAATTTGTTAGTGCGTGAGACACTTTTAGTGATGAGAGAAAGATAAAATAATAAAGGAAATAAGAATTTGTATTATTCAATTATACAAATAATAATACATACTAGGACTATTTATATACAATCCTAATTAAATTTAGGTCTACATAACTTAAATTATATTTAAATATTAAATCTAATCAAATTAAATTTAATCTAATATTTAAACGAATCTAATTTAATATTTCAACATTAATCACTGCAGGATAAGATAGACTTGTTCACAAAATTTAATTCAATAATTACGCTTTCATGTTGTTGCAGTTGAGTTCAATTCAGCAACCATTCACAACAAAGATTAAGCTGGCAAAGACTAGTTAGATTCATTACTTCCATATTAACCAATAATATCACTTTCTTAATTGAGAAGAATATAACATTTGGATGACAACACATTTAACAGGGAAGTGATAGTAGGCATCCGGTGGTCCTTTTTAAATGCTTAATTTAGTTCTAACACAAGTCTTGTTTTTGTTGATCAAATGGTCTATCTATCTTATACAAATATCATGGAATCTTGAATAAAGCATTTTCTTTAATTTATTTCACCTTTAGTTGCATAGTCAATTTCCAACAATTCTGTTCACCATAATATTGTTTAGTAATATATATTTTTTAGTTATAATACCTGGCCCAAATGATAACTATTCCTTTGCTGCAATCAAGTGCACAACGTTTTGAACCAAAAAAAGGGAACTATATAGGTTTTAATTATAGCAACTTGGCCTATTAAATGAGACACTATTTATCTTACTAAACTATTTATTGAAACATTCACACCCCTTTTCTTAGTAGTCTTTAAATGTTGGCTTTGAAAATTTCCAAAAGGTGCACACCCATGTTTTATGGGTTCATGATTTATATGCAAAATATATTTTTAAGTTTATCTAAATGAGTAAATATAGTTCAAGAAATTACATTATTACAATTGATGAAACTATGTCTCAAACATTCATCTGTTTCTTAAATACGTGTATGTCAATCTAAATATAAAGATTATTAAAATAAATTAGCTTAAAAATTGACTTGTAAATTATTTATTATAGAATTGTTTAAATTTATTTAGACTAATAGAAATTTGTTAAAATATTTTTTTTTGTCTTGTATGTTAACTTCAAGATTATATTTGGTCTCTTAACTAAAAAAATTCATATTGATCCTTTAACTATTCAAAACGCTTCATTTTAGTCATTTTTGTGTAATTAGCGACAAATTTAGCGATCGAATTTTGAGTTTTTTCCGTTGCTAATTAAAAAAAGGACTAAAATGAAGCGTTTTGAAGAGTTAAAGGACCAATGTGAACCTTTTTTATATTAAGGGACCAAAATGAACCTTGACGTTAACATACAAGACTAAAAAGAGTAATTTGCGTAGGAATTTTGTATTAAACAACACAAGTGGGGAGGGGGGGGGGGGGGGTGCTAACTCAATTCAAAAACACAACAAAGGAGAACAAACTCTAAACAACACCAAGGCAAAAGCTACCTCTCTAATAAATCCAAAGGGTTGGTCAACCAAATGGTTTTCTCAACCTCTAAGCCTCTTCTAGTTAAAATTGAAAACCAATCCCAACCAAAGGACTTAACAAAATTCAAAATATCCTCAACAACCACCGATTTGTTATTAAACACATGCTTATTCCTACTCCACGAAATGCACCAAGAAACCAACAACCAGAAGAACATACCGAAATATGGGTGAACAATTCGAGAAACTGAATGACAAACCCGGTCCAATCGAAGAGGATCGATTCGTGCAAAAAACACTAAACTGGGTAACTTCCATGTAGAGACAAGGAGAGTCGCAATATATGATGATTTTGGGGGATTCGAGTTGCACGAAGGTGTTCATATGCACTCAAGAGTATATGTGTTGCTTATCCCTCTGACGCAAGTTCTTTTATATAGCATAGTCCTTAGTCTAATGGTTATTTAAGCCATCTTGTAACGTTCGTAACTGCCCATCAATGACTTGTAACGTATCTCATAAATGTTTGTAACGTTTGTCTCATCATTAGGCTATAGTTACGACTCTTACTCTCATCAGGTACGACTTCCTACAAATCGACTTTATTGTATCAAGTTCATGCTCGATATCTTATTTAATGTCAGTCCTGGGTCATATCCCGGCTTGTCTCCCACTTGTTCATACCCAATTAAGACCTAACTGTGTAGTTGGATCCGATCTCTAAGGGTATATATTGGCTCGTATTTTATTCTATGCCTTATTTAACACCTCGACCTTGACAAAAATATTCCGGGATATACAAGATCCAAATCAAGATCATCAATAACCACCTCCCCACCACCCAACCATCTAAAAACACTCTCCCACACCCGCTTCGACACCGAACAATTAAAGAAGAGATGACTTAAGTCTTCTTCATGTTGATTCTACATGGAGCAAAAAGTGTAGAGAATATCCTAAATCACCTTTCTCCGAAAAAGCTTCTTCTAAGTTAGTGAACTATTGAGAATAAAACGCCAACCAAAAATATTAACTTTACCTAGAACTTTGGCCTTCCAAATATTGTTGATCACCTGAAGACTATCATCTTCCAAAGCAATCCCCATATGCTTCAAGTCATACAACCTACGATAACTATTTCTAACCGAAAAACCATTAGAATTCAACCACCAAAAACAGAATCAGCTACTACCTGAGAAGGTGTAAAGTTTACCACAAGAGAGAGTAAACCAAGACACTCATCTCGTAACTCCCCGGAAACATCAAAGGGATTCCATGCCAAAATACCAAAACCACTCATCTTCCTCCTAGAAACCCATATCCACAATCTTACCATCCTTAGCTGAACAACCATCATATAGAATAGGAAATAAGCACTTCAAAGGAGTAGAACCTAACCAACCATGATTTCAAAATTCAAACCAAATACTCGATCCCAACTTGCAAGAAAAAGAGTTATTGAACCATGAATGACCATTCACCTGGAGCCTACAAACATCGCTCACATCTCTTCACCATAAAGAAAACTTGTTCACTCTATTCACCGACATATCACCCTGAAAATTCCTAACGTGGTCACCATACCTGTGTAAGAACAAGATTTGGTTATGCAATATTATCTTTGAGTTTTAATGATAACAAATTAGTATGTTTGTATGAACAATTTTGATACTCTAGTATTTATTATTTTTTAGTACTTAACAAATAGGTTCTGCTTCTGATGGATGT